ACATCCCTACTTCCATTGTTTTGGGTTTTATATCTCAAAATCTGGACCAATAAAACCTCCTTTGGCTGCATGCACAGTCACCTCTAGGGTTTTTGAATTTTGGTGAACTGACACTTTATAGATAGAAGCAGTCAAGCTAAGTTATGACATAGACCTCTTTTCATACTGTTAGGCAACCACGCATACCAAGAGAGGACCCTTTCAGTTCAGGGGCCAGAGGCGCCTTGCCAGAGATTTCCACCAACAACAGCCTGGTGGCGCTTGACGACGAGATCGTCTGTGCCCTAGGTCATGATCTCTCGCAGATCCCCTCTGCCACTCGTAGCACCATGAGGAATCTGACGTCCCGGCATAAGGAGGTCAGCCAGTGGCAGGCACAGATATCTGAGACTATTGGGCAGGTGGACCGGGAAATCATTGCCCTGGAGCAAGTGAAAAGCACTGCTGACAGCTTTCTCGAGGAGAAGCTCTCTTATGGCCAACTAATGGCTGAGTGTGTGGAGAACAAAAAACTGAACACAGGGGTCCTGGCACAAGACCCTGTACTCATAGAGCTGAAAAAGGAGGTACAGTTGACCAATGAAATCACAGTACTGCTCCAGAAGCAGATCATTATCTTGTTGGATAAACTGAGCTCTCTGAAAGAGATCTACGCTCAGCTGCTGGCAGACTATCAAGATAAAGGTGAGGCTAACAAGCTCAGCACCAAATGTATAACTCTTGACATCAACTCAGCCGGCCCCCAGCTCCCAGTTAGTGAACACAAGCCCAGCCTGAGCCGTGACAACTGGACGTCCCGCTGCAAGGACATAAAGCGGACTGCTGATAACCTGGTTAAAGACTCTTGTTCCTTCAGGGGGAACCTGCGGTTTACCCTTGCCAGGCTGAAGAATGCCCATGAGTGTCAGCACCGCAACACAGATGGTGCCATGCAGAAAAAGATCAATGAGATGAGCAAGGTGCAGGAGAGGCTGCGTTGGGAGAGGCAGAATATCATGTATGAGATTAAAGATCTTACAAATGACACTCAGAAGGTTGCAGGCCAGATCAGGAACTGTGATTCCAAGCTGCATCAGACCAACCACTGCCTGGACATCCTCAACCACAGACCCAGGCAAGAGCTCTGTGTGGACCAGCCCTTCACCAGTCTCACGCTGGAGAAAAATGACCTGACAAAAATGTCATCTGGACTTCGGCCAACACTTCAGCGCTGCCACCAAGACATGGGGCCAATGCACCACCGCCTGTCGACTCTGGAGGACAAGATGGCCACTAATGCTCACGCCCTGGATGTAGAACAGAAGTGCCACAACCTGCACCAGAGTTTCCTGCCCCTGTACAACCCCAATGTGGTCATTCCCAGCAAGGCCTGGCTCTGCAGGGGCCCAGGGCCCTCCAGCCCTTACTCCTTCCTTCAGTAGTGTGCATCTGTGCTCTGCTACAGCCCTGTGGTCGGTTCCATTTGGTGTTGCAAAAATGAATAAAGTGTAAAAGTCTTTGAGCAAAAAGTAATGAGAGGGTTGTTTTAATTCAACTAACATATAAAGACACAATCACTAAGGTTTTTGCTGCTCCTTTGTACAAAATGAGCCTCATATATTAGCAGTAGACTGCCAGGATTGCTTATTATTACAAAGGAAAGATAGAAATAAATACCTCCAATGGAGTCCACTTTTACAACACACTGGACTGGAAGGGCTACAGGGACATTGTTTAGGTCCTTTAAGAATGCAGCAAGTTGTTGTAAATCATTTTCCAGTCTGTTGCTGTTAGGGTTGGGTTTCAATAGCCATTTCTATTTTGGCAATGATGGCCAAAATACCTGAATTTGTCAAATGAGCTATAATCGATATTTTTGAAAGCACAATGTATCAAATGAAAATGTGAAAGGGCTAGCTCATAGTGTTGAACCGACAGAGAATTATTAGCTGAATCTGTGGCTACCCTCAGCTTCATAGTGTGTTTCAGCTCATTGTTTAGCTGTCTAGCCCACAACTTTATTGTTTTGGTTCACTGTCATCAACGTCATTTTTGACAGTAGCAAGCAGCTGTATTCGACAAAAAACAGTTGGAGACTAGAGTCCAACCAATATTTCATAATATGTGCTGAAATAAAAACTGTTTTTTCTGGTACATATTAAGTATAATGATACTATATACACTTCATATAACAGGAAAAAAGCTTGTGACAATATATTGGTGTCACTGCAAAGTTTAGCCAGCTGTGCTATACAAAACTGTGGCAAGCAGCACAGAGTAAGAGGGAAGAAGCAGGACTTAGCAATGTCAACTACAACTGGTTGACGGTGTATGTTAAATTATTCAACATATTAAATAGGGGTGTGGAAAAAAATATTGTATCGCAATACTTAATTTTGTGACGTTATATCAAAAACACTATCAATTTTTGCGGTTAAACCTCTGACACTTGTATAGCAAACTTAAACTGAGAGCTATGGTGTGCAGAATGCAGATCTCACTGTTCTAAATTTAATTTAATTTTTTATTAAATCACAATTTATCACCCAGCCTACAGTCACAATATATTACAATATATTGAATTGTAACCCCTGTATAATGATACATCGTATCGCCATATTCTTGCTAAAAGACAGGCCTAATTTTAAAGACTATTTAACTTAAATATTCTTTAATAAAGTTATTTGTTTAAGAAAAAAGTCATCTGAGTACCTTATATTGGTACAAAATTGGACTATTTTCATTCAAGCGCAAAAAATAATTCCCTATATCAGCCGCCATATTGATTACCGGTGAATTTGTCCCCTCTAAAACGCGGTGTTGTCTCAGAAATCCCATATGGGTCGGGCTCTATTGGAAATTAGCTGGTGAACATAGAGAGAGTCAGATATTTCCCTCAGGAGTTGGTAGAGACCTAAAAGATCGAAAAGAGAGCAAATAACAGACTTATATTTGCCACCAGCACAACTATAAATGAATGATATGTTGCTCCAGAACTGTTGCTAACAGTGTTTACAGCTTGTTTTTAATTGTTCCCAAGTGGACAAAAAATGGTTTTAGCTACAAACCAAACACATTTTTTTTTTATCTCAGCTTGCTCTTTTTTACTACAAAACAATAATGTAGAAAAGGTGTCAGCTCTGGTGCTTTTACCAGTTAAAATATGAGCGGAAGACAAATTATTATACAAATTAACATCACTTCCGTAACTTTTGGCTGTTGTCTGCTTAATGTGCTCTCTGGTGCTGATGTCCGTAGGCAGGGATTGTTTGATTTCATGGACTAATAAAGCATTGTTTATCATGAAAAAGGTTTTGTAATTTTAAAATTGCCATATTATAAAGAAATAATCAAAAATGTAATTAAGTAATGTATGGCAATGTAACTATAATCTAATTACACTTTTTCAAATGTATTCTGGGCTGATTATAGTTACTTATTTCTGATTACTTTTCGTTTTGCCAGATTGTTACGGCCACAGAGCTGAGAGCTGTTGTTGTGTTGTGTTGTTTTCCCTCTGCAGTGAGTCTGGCTGTCTCCAATTGCTAATCAGGGCTGGACATATATATATAAACTGGGATCGGAGTTGTGGCAGGTGGGTCATCCAGCAGCGTGCATGCTGTTTGGGTCTGAGACGAGAGGCTGTGTAAAACGTTACGATGAAAGCGGTCCTCCCTGATAGAGGGAGTGTGTGATTGTTTTTGTTAAGTTTGTTAAAGTACTTAAAAATAGTTAATTATACAGGATTGGCTTCTCCTTCGTTTTTCTTTTTAAAAGAAAGCTTGTTTTGAGTTTTCATCTTTTGGTATTGTTGTGAGTATCAATTTTCTGTTTACTGGTTATGGAAACCCTTGATTCTTTCTCCCTGGGTAAAATTTTGACATACATCTCTGGGACATAACAGAAATAACAGCTTGTTGATCTCAATGTGTTGAGCTCAACAAACCCTTTGAGTCAACAATGCAAACTATTTGAATAAACTATTCAGAGAGGCTGGCTCTGTGTTGGAACTACTCTGGAGTTCTGGTAGGGGGATCACAGTCAAGCCTCCCCTCAGACCACTCTTAATAATAGGACTTATTCATCTGACCCTGTGCCAGTGAGGTCATTCCTGCCAGCTGTTATCACTCTATATGAAGAATCCTCTCTGCGTCACGAAGCCTGACAGACTCTATTGTTCATCTGTCCAATATAAAATAATATTCACAAGTGATTTATCTTCATATATATCTTTGTATTAAAGTGGAACTACACAAAGAGGATTTTAAAGCTGCAGTAAGTCATTTTTATAAAAAAATTACTTCTTGTCATACTTGCTGAGATTTTCACTGTGTCCTGACAGTAGTACACGAGACAGATAATCGGTGAAGAAATCCGGTTCCTCTGGCTGGTTCTAGTGCCCATAATGGTATTTGCAAGAATCTGGACAAAAGCAACCAATCAGAGCCAAGAAAGATACAAAGACGCGTTGGGTTGGAGGCTTGAATTTAGTTTATTGTTAAATATCATTCCCAAGTTCCCAAAGCGTCTGGATTTGCCGTCCTGGGAATGAGACTCCACAATCTTTCTTGGCTCTGATTGGTTGCTTTTGTCAAGGCCCGGTGGTTACTTGCACATGCCATTAAGAGCACTAGAAAGAGCCAGAGGAACCAGATTTTTTCACTGATTATCTGTCTTGTGTACTACACTTAGGATATAGTGAAAGTTTAGTTAGCAAAAAAATAAAACAAAAATCACACACTGCAGCTTTAAAGTTTTAAAGACAATTACAAGGCAGGTGGGGTCTAGCTACCTAATCTGCTTTAATTTGGCTCATTCTTATTCTTATCAGCCCGCAACATTTTTCATACCGGCACTGTATATATACTCGTGTGTATGATTTTCATATTAATCACAACACTGTATTCAACAAATACATGACATCAATATACAGTATACATATACAGTATACTACTCAGCACTATCATTGTGTTATTCAGTATATATTTAGATTTACAGTAACTACTTACAGCAAGTCTTACCTTTCTGAGCAGGTGTGGGAACATCTGGAGGTTCTTCAAACTTCAGTGTTTGTACCAGAGCCTCTGGAGTTATTTTAGTGCCAGCAAAGATCCCAGAGGGGAAGGAGCTCCCTGCCAGAGCCTGTGAGGTTTGCAAATAAGGATGCAAATAAATAAGTACAAGACTATCAAAGCACTTATACCCCATATCCATGTTATGGCTCCTCCAAATCTGGTACAAGCTATTTTGGTTAAATAGTGAGCTTTAGATTTGATTCACCTTTTCAACGTGGTAGCTAAAATAAACGAGTGATATTTCAAAATAAAGCTCGTATACGGCTACCCCTGAAATCACGGTGCTTAGCTAAATGTACTCTCGGTCCAACTATCGTTAATGGGCATTCAATAGCACACGTCAACGTTATTTATTCGAACAGTTATAATAACTGACCTGTTTGACATTTTTCGAGGCGTCAGTCTTGTTGTTTCCCAGCAGTGGAGGACTTATTGTGTGTAGTCCCAGTGGAGGAGGCTGCTCTAAACTCCGAGAGAACGCAGAGTCGCGGGGCTGTGTGAGGCTGCTCGGCCTCTCGAGCTTCACCGCCTCCTGGTGAATCTTCTGTCGGACATGTTTTATCTTTCCGACCATGTTAATGCAGCCTAGCGAACTTTATATTAAACTCAATTAAATGTGTTTAACACAAACAGTTGTGTTCCTGCTCCCCGGTGTCGACAGCGTGTGACGTTGAAAAATCCGCTACGCTTAGACCGGAAGTCAATGTGTTGCGCCTTCAAAATTAAATGACAAATTGCTCACTTTAATTACTTTTGGCTGGTGTTTAGTTTGTACCAACCGTCGTGGTTTTAACATTCGGATCCACACGATAGACGTTAACCCTCTACGATGTTTAGTGTCTTTTTTTTGCTTATTCTTTTTAGGCTCGGCCCCACGTGATGTAGGTTAAACACAAGGCTAGCTAACATTAGTCTATTGTGAGAGATGTGACATTTGGACAGGAGCAGTGTACTTCCGGCACTCACTGTCCCACTGGTGCTCTGTTTCACTTCAGGTTCGAGCTCTGTGTTTCTTGTTCGCCTGTACAACATCATTCATAGCTTAATAAAAGTTTTAGTTTGGGGGTAAATACCAGAAGCAGATGTTTCTACCCCGGCTAGCTTGACGATTGTTGACATGACAAGCGTGACTGGTGTCCCGGGTTAGTAGATCGGTGGAAAACGGCGCAGAACGAAAGTTCCGCATCTAATTTTAAGATTTAGAAGATAAATTGATTCATATATTTGAGTTAATTTACAAAAAAAACAAACATATTAACAGTTAACTGTTTACGTATATTCATGTTACATAGTTATTATTTAGATATTCCCAAGTTTAAAGCTTTACATGTACATCTTTAAAACAGTTACAATATTCTGCTGAATCTACCTCTGTGGTTTTAAATATACAGTCTATGGTTCTGATTGGTCAGATAGCCTACACACTTGAGATTGACACTGTTTCATAACCAGTTAAAAACCTCTTGTAGTATAAAGTAAGAACTGTGGAAGGAAGGAATAATGGACCCTTAAGTGTAAATCAGATTTATTTGCAGGTGGATGTGGCAAATGAATATGAGGTCTTCCACAATAAAAAAAAAAAAACAAGCAAATAGTAATCTAACACTACAATGTTCTACACTGTACAGTACATATGAATGTTTACATGTATGTAAAAACAGACATATCAAAACTAATTTACACGAAGGGGTCCTGGACCAGGTCCTGAGCAAAGAGTTTGTGGAGAGTCTGCAGATCTTTGACCTGAGAGAACAAGAAGAAAATGATTATGATGCTGAATTAGACACAATAGGTGTTTAACTCACAAGAAATACAACATTTCATTAACACACATGTGAAGTGTAAATCAGTTTGCATATTATTTATACTCACACTTTTCTGCATTTTTTTTTTTGAATTTTTTTATTATTATTGTGTCATGCATTAGCATGCCCAGCCCACCAGGGCTTACAAGACACCATTATAAAACATAAAGAGACCAAGAACCAAAAGTAGATGCTAAACAATACTAACATTAACGATATAAAACATCCTGACGTTTCATCCAGGCTTTAGTAACAAAAGAGGCTAACTTATAAACATTAAAGGTAAACAAACATTCCATCCTAACATCATCATTACTCCAAAATATTTCAGGGTTTTGAGCAAACAGTTCATTTACAACAGGTACTCTGAGTTAATCATAGAAGGGACAGTATAAAAGAAAATGAGATTCATTCTCCACTTCTCGTAAATCACAAAGTTCACAAAGTCTCTGTTCCTCTGGGATATTTTTAAATCTGCCGACCTCAAGTGCCAGGGGAAGGATTCCCATTCTTAATTGGGCAATCAAGGATCTCTGATTTCTTGGTAAATTTGTTTTAACATATAATTCTGTTTCATAATTAGGCTTGATTTGAACATATGTCCGTAATTTCGGTTTTATCGTTATATCATTTAACCATTTTTCATTGAACCCGACAAGTAACTTTTTTCTAATTTGTTTATGCTGCATGATAAATTATTTCTATAGATGTACTGAAAATCGGCTTCTTCAAAGACAGCATGAATCTCTGCGGCCCATGGAGAGTTCTGAACTTTACACCAAAGAAAAACTTTCTTATTGATCCTGTCATCTGACATATTAATAAAACAATTCCACAGTCTAATCATATCACACTTTCTCCTTATTGTACCAGGAATCCAGCCCATGTTACCCTGAGCAGCCAAAGAGGGAACATATTTATGAATACCCAGAAAACAACGTATAGCTCTGTTTTGTACTGCATCTGAAATCCTTCTTTCTTTAAATCCCCATACCCCAGCAGCATAGTTCACAATGGGAGAAACACATGCATCATACAATTGAGAGTAAGTAGAATAACCAAGGTCTTTACATATTTTTAACTTGTTAACAACGGAACCCAGAGCTCTGCCAGCTGAATCAGCCAGGAGTTTAATTCCATTTTCATAATTCATAAATTCATCAAGTGGAAATCCTAAATATTTATAAACAGATGTATTTTCTAATGGCATATCAGAAAAAGTAAAGATTTTCTCACTTCTTGGGACACCTTTTTTTCTAAAATGAATTATCTGTGTTTTACTCTGATTTATGGACTGCCTCCATCTGCAACACCAGGTCTGTACTAAGTTTAGCATATTCTGTAAATCATCCTCCGATTCAGCCAGCAGAACAATATCATCCGCGTACAACAAAATACCCACAGTTAAATCATTCAAATGTATACCTAAATTAGCATTCTTGACTTCAAAAGCCCAGGTCATTTATATAAAGAGAAAACAAGGTAGGGGACAGGACATCACCCTGTTTAACACCAAAGGGGGTTTTAAACCAGTCAGTTTGAAGATCATTTATCTGAACACATACAACTGAAGAACTATACAGTGACTTTAGAGCTTGATAGAATTTACCATCCACACCTCCTTTTAAAAGTTTTAAGGTAAGCAGATCTCTATTTACCCAATCAAAAGCCTTTTGGAAATCCACAAAAAATACAAAAGAAGATTTATTTTCTGCAATTCTTGTCCTGACAATTGTTGAAATTGTATGAATATGATCAATGCAGGCTTGACTCCTTCTGAACCCATTCTGTTCATCAACTAAATATTCCTCTGTTTCCAGATACTCGGTCAGCCTAGCATTCAAAATACTACTATACAATTTATACACTGTGCTAAGAAGGCTGATTCCCCTGTAATTGAGTGGTATCCTAGGGTCATTCTCAGATGACTTTGGGATAGGTTTGATAATAGACTTATACCACACGGAAGGAACAATACTGTGTTTAAAACAAAACCTAAACAAACAGAAAAGCATGTTTAAAAGAGGAGGTGACTTTAACACTTCATTTGGGATATCTTCCACACCTACTGCTTTTTTCATCTTAGACTTATTTATAGCAGCTTTCACTTCTTCCAAGGTAATATCACAATTCAAAAATAAATTTGGTGAATAGTTCTCTCCGCCCATATTTCTCTCTAAATTGTCCTTTACTTTACATGCATCTTCAAGAAAAGCATCTTCAAAAATTGGTGGAATATTACTTCCTGATAATAAATCAGCAAAATCGGTCTCCCACTTTTTAATTACAAAATCTTTCCTGCATTCCAGGACATCATCACTTAGGACAACCCCCATAGGTATTTTCTGTATTCTCCTTGGGCCTAATTTATTAATTTCCCTCCAAAATTGTTGTGGATTATTGGTTTGTAAATAATCTAATCTCAAGGACTGCCCTCTACTAAACTTCCTTTTGTAGAACCTTAATTTTTTATCAAAAATAAACTGTGCTTGCCTGTAATTTTCTCTCAGTTGTTGTTTCCTTACTGGATCATTACATCGAAGAAAGTTCTTTTCAGCTATTTTTCGTTCATTCCACAGTTTTTGGAGCTCAGAATTCCAGAAAGGTTTAGAGCACCTTGCTAACTGCTTAAATTTGTATTTATTTAAATGTTTGGGTTGACATTTATCCATTTCTAAAATAATCATATCACAGAACTCATTGTACCACCGATCAACACTATTTTGTGTACTTTGACAGGATTCAAGTTGTTTTATTAACTCTAATAATGCAAAGCGACACATGTCAGAGGACAAAACGTTTTCAGGAAAAGTTCTGCATCTCTTTTTTGATTGTGAAACTGATTCATTTTCTTCTGTTGTTTGAACTCCAACTTTAAATGTTAACAATAAAAGTGAGTGATCCGGTAAGTGACATCGTTCTCCAATAAGCTTCTGCATTAGCACACAATACACATTATTCTACTTAGTTTTAGTACAAAAATAGTTTTCATTTAAGTCTAGTTCTTATTTTAGTTAAGTAAACACCAACCAACAGCACTTTCACCACTGGACACCCTACACTCAGAAAACCCACTGCACCACCAAGTCTCCTCACTTTGAAACCTTCCCTCTGAGTGCTTTTAATTATTCACTTTGGACATTGAACTTCAAAATTCATTCAGCCTCACAGAGGAATCAAACACACAACCTCAGATTTTATGGTTAGTCTTCTAACCCACTGTATTATTTCCCCTGAGACAGTCTTCCACAATTTTGAAGTCCTTTTCACTCGTTTCTTTAAACAGCTTGTACATTTTTGTGTGACTGTATATTTTAAGCACCATTGCACCAAGATGAGTTCCTCGTGTGTGTAAAAACCTACCTGGCAATAAATCTGATTCTGATTCTGATTAATTTCAAGATTCACAGAGTTGAGCAAGGCTTGAACCTCCAAACTTCCAACCACTGTATTGATATTCAGACACAGAAACTCATTAAGCAAAGTGTATGTTTGTTGTTGCTTTTCTTTTCATCTTTGAGGAGAAAACACAGAAAAGTCTCAGTAGAAGACACCCTGGATATGATCCCTCCACCTTAGATCACCAGGTATCTGCACTTTAATGAACTATACTTGAGGCTTAACATTTGCTGCACATTTTGAAAATCACAGAACTAATACTAGCACTTGTGGCACCAAGCAGTGCTATTGTACCTGGGATACGAGGAGCTCTGTTATACCTCATATAAACCCCTAGAAAATAATCTGAGTTATATCAAGAAATAAATAAAAATGTAGTAAAAGCTACCAATGAGAGTTTCTTGTGATTTATTTGCTTAAAAAACTTCCGTAAAAAAGTAATATTGATGGTCTGTAAAACAATGTTGGTTACTTACGTCCTCCAACCCTTCAGCAGGGAAGTGTACAAAATAAGGAAAGGATTATGGGGCAGAATTGGGTATTCAACTATCTACCTTGTGGTCAGTAACCCTGATTTTTAACACCCTATTCAACCATCCTGCCACCCTTAGTCGCCTGAAATTTACCCAACCGTGCAACTGGTCGACTCCCCTGTTGACATTACTAATAGACTTGGTATTCCTGTTTGAGACACTGTACCTGTTTTCCTCTGAGTTTTACACTTCTAAAAATTCATAGATTTGAGTGAGGATCGGTAGAACTCAAACATCCTGAGCCGTTTGATCTGAGGGACTGAACTAGAGCTTTGATTCTCTGCCTGAACCTGACGGGTCGTGTTGGGTCAAAACTGCTATTTTAACTTAGATTGAATAAATATATATATATAAGTTAAATATTTTATTAAAAATGCATGCAACTGTAATTAATGTGAATTTATTAGTTTTGATAATAATTTGCACCATATAATATGCACAATGTAGTTAACTGATTTATTGTAAGCAGAAATTCGGGTTTCGTTTTGGGCCCCAAATTGCTTCTATGGTTCGGGCTCGCACAGACGTTTTTCAGGATTGGGTCCTGTCGGGCCTGATTGTTTGGGACAAATCAAAGCTCAACTAGACTGAACCTCTCTGACCTTCAGGCTAGTAGTTCCCACCACCCACTTAAACCCTAAACTAAGCTTGAGCTTCCACTTGTAATTTCCACTAAGACCGAACTCACTTTGGCCACTTATACCGAAAGCATTTTGTCCCTTCTTCATCTTTCTTATGAGTCGGAATCAGTCATGTCTTTATGTCATATTTATTTGCAGCGATTCATAAATCAGCCATGTTATCACTACTCTACTATAATAAAACACACTCACATCAAATACTCATTATTACTAGATTATTTTTTGAAGAATAACTTGACTGTTTTGTTTTTATGTAACTTAAACTTATGAAGGGACTGTTTATTAGACAATGGGTATGTAATAGCTTTTTATTTGTTCTTTTATCAATAGTAAGCAGTATTGTTTGATTAGTCTAAATGTTTGTTTATGTTCTTATTTATCGATTTAGATGAAACTTTTAAGTTGCAAACTTTATTTTGATGAGTGGTGTTTAATTTACATTTATAAGCTGGGAAAAAATTGTTGGAACAAGTAAATTTTTATGAGTAGTTTAATCAACTTAAAAACTTCAGTTCAGCAATTTGGGGCAAAGCAACCCTTTAAAGTACTTAAGTCACTTGTAGATCACCTTTTTTGACAGCAGATGGAACCCTTACGCTGCTTAATAAACATTGATCTCTGACCACACAGTCTTCCTGCATTTGTCAGTACATTACAACATTACAATACTTCACATGAAGCATCATTTTTCTAAAGCCTGTTGTGTTTATTTAGACTTTTGATTGTTTCCTAACTGCAGGCCGTCATTACAGGATGAGAGAACATGCCGGGACTTACACTTGCTTGAGCGTCAACTTGAATATTTTTCCTTTTTCTTGAGAATTAGTGGAATTCTGGGTTCGGCAGAGGAATCTGACATTTTTGTGACACATTAAGGCAGTCTATATAATTTAACGGTGACATATATCAGTGGTACCCAACCTTTTTCATTAAGGGACCCCCTTACCATCATTAAGTAAAGTAACAACCCCTGACTAAGTGACGTCTGTTTTATGGATATTCCATTTTCAAAACTGTACAATGAACCCAAACAATGAAGTCAGAACCAAGTGCTGAGATGAAGCTTTGGCAACACCTAGTGGGTGTCCTGGGCCACAGATTGGTCACAACTGACATATATAACGAATATAATTGTGACATAATCCTATATAACCATATCGTATTAAAGGTCCAGTGTGGAAAATTGCTATATTCAGTGATTATGCACTAATAAAAACATGTCTAAGAATATTATATATAATATTCAATATCATTTAATTTCACAGATTTTTTTTTTAGAGGAATTGAAAAAAAGAAAAAGACAATACCTGTGGGTCCTGGGTCATCTGGTTTCCCCAGCCACTTTGGCTGTCCGCTCATTCAGATCAAAGCAACAGCCAATCATATACATGTTTGTTCTGACTGACAGAGAAAGACTTTTTGCTGAAAAGTGTCATTATGAAATAAAATATTCTGAAATAAAACTGTACCAAATAAACAAAATAAAAACTTAGATTTGTAGTTATGTCATATGATGATTCTTCTTATATTTATGTGAATCTATTTATGAATCACATTTTGAAAACCCACATGTAGATTTACCTTGGAAAACCTGGAGGTGCTTTAATGCAATTCCAGTCTAAGTGACTCACCTTGGACCCAGATCACTTAACACTGTTGGCCTTATCATAAGTCTGTACTACAGAAAATATTTAACCCGTGCTTTTTCTCTCAAACTGAGATGACAGTGACTGATGACTATTCCAGACCTGTTCAGTCCTGTAATGCAACACAGCAACCATTCCATGGTTTCCAATAACAAACTGTAAACACACCCCTATCTCTCCTACATGCACAGCAATGTTAACTGTATTCATAATTCATCTTTAAACATTTCTGTAAAATAAAATTAATTCTACCTGATTTAAACTGTTACTTACGTGCTGTGGCCAAATTAATGTCATGGTTAGAGGTAAACTGTAGTAATCATGAACCCTACATCAAAAAGTAGGACTACAACTTCAATGTGTTAACACTGGGTCTACAGATGTGCCTTCTGTGATTCCCCCACTGCAACTGTCATCCATCTTTTCTAGAAATGTACCCCTAAACTGTGGCAGGGTAGCTGCAATTTTATCTTGGATAATAGTGTCTTAACTTTAAGTGGAAAATGTTTTTTTGTTTTCCAACATTATATATGAAAAAGAGTATTTTCTAATCTATTTCATTATATTTTTTGCATGTTTTACATTCATAAATATAAAAAGTGTAAAAGCTACTTTCATGTTTTTAAGAAAGAAATGAACCTATATGTTAAGATCTTCAGCATAAAACTGTGACACTGTGCTCCCTAATTAATGTTTTCACTTAAGCCACTTTCTATTGGTTTATGTTGACCCCTGTCATTAATTTATTTTTTGTTTTGTTCTTTTCATTATAATTTGTTAATCCTTTATTTACATGTTTGAACATTTACCTATATATCTATTTACATGGAATTGATATTTCACTAGTTATTTCATTGTATTGTTAATTGAATTGAATAATAATAATAAACAAGGTTTTTCCATTAATTTGAATGGCCAGAATAATGGATAGCATATGTATAACATTTTACAAAAATAACTTGAACTTTTTGTTGAATGAAACAGATAAAACACAATGCAGAATCTTTTTCCTGCCATAAATAAAAGCGTACACATGTAAATCCAACTAAAAAATGATTTCTTTAAATAAACAAACAGTTTTCATTGTGCTAGATTTTAGTGGGTGCTGCAGCCCCCTTAGGACCCCTACTTCCAGCACCCAGTGTCAAGTGCACCATTCACAAACAGGCGGCGTCAGTGTAAAGCTGGTGATACCATTCCCGTTGAGAACCACTTTAGAGGGGACAAAACAAAAACAAGTCAGAATGTATGAACACAATGTCATTTTTTCAAACACAATTTAAAAGTGTACATAATAATAACAAAATATTTAGAAGAAAAAAGAATTCGTTTTTTAACCATTCAACCCCCCACAGCCCACATGGTACGGTCCGGAGGCCCTGCACTCTGTTGCTAGGAGGCGGAGAACGCCTCATCGCTAGAAATAAAACGGAGAGAAAAGTTCTGCCTCACACTTCTCCTCACCTTGGACATGGTTTACGGTTCTACTGTACTCGTCTCTGTACCGAGGGATAACTCGGTGGATATTTCGGTATGGGACGGTTCGGCATTAAAGCATGTTTACATGTTTTGCTCCTTCAACCGTTATAGAGCTCGAGCATATTAAAACCCTGACTAAAGTGGCGCATTTATAATTGTTTCTAATGGCCGCTGACTGCTCTCAAGAGGCAATTTTGGACTTTCTCACAGAGAAAGGGGGCAAAGTGAAAAACACGGATTTAATTGAGCGGTTTAAGGCCGTATTCCCGGAGGAACCGGAGAAGAAAGCGGCCGTCCGTAACACATTCAAAAGCTACGTTGACAACGTAGCTTTTGTAAAAACCGAGAGTGGAGTTAAATATGTCTGCCTGAAGAAAAAGTTTCGCACTGCGGTTAAAGAGAGGCATAACTCGAGTGTCAGCAACGGGACAGAAAGGGAACCAGAGCCAGCTTACGGTGAAGAGAAGCGGGTGCGCCGTTATCCCGGAGGTGCAGACCGAGCACACTGCGGCCAGATTAGCGGTGATGACGCAGTGGAGGATCCGGTCCAGCCTCGTGCCGCAGGCGCTGAGCTGCAACAACAAACACCTGGCTCAGGTTACGGAAATGACAGCCAGGTGAGAGTTCCGCATGCTTTCACTCCCGCAACAACTTTACCGGACAAAACAGACGACAAAAGTACGTGTCATGAGTTTGTTTGTTTAGCTGAGGAAGCGGGCAGGGGCTCTGGTGAGATGGGGAACAGGGGAAGCTTTCGGAGAGACAGGAGGGAGTCCAAGAAGGAGCATGTTGGGAAAGTGCCTAAGATACCAGAAATTGCAGTCATTGAAGCGTCTCCTCTCCCTGCTGAGGGATCCATGTTCACCCTGCCTGGGCCTGCACAAACTGGTACTACAGGACAGGTAGACAGATCTACTGCTGGACCCGATCCCAGAGACAGACCGGTTGACACTGAGTCACCAGAAGGCCTGAAGGAAGAGCAGATTAATGTGGTGACTAGACGGCGAAACTCAAAAGGATCCCAGCGCAGAGCCAGGCAGCCACAGCCAGACCACGGGGAGGATGACGAAGGGCGGTTGGATGCACAGAGTTTGTCTGGGAGCGAAGAAAACAGCTCCCCGAAAGGCAGCCGTCGACACTTCATCGAGCTCATGCTGAACAGTTCCCCACAGGTGAGGCGTAGCATGGTGTTGCGCAACTCGGTTTGCCTATCCAGGAGCGACAGTGACTCACTCTCCTTGGTGTCCTCCAACCTGGATGACGACAGGGCCTCCGTCACTCTGGACCCGCTGGAACACGAATGGATGATGTGTTCTTCTGACGGGGAGTGGGGCAGCTTGTACTGTCTCCTCGCCACAGAGCCCAGCCTCATCCTGAGGAAGGATTTCGTCACTGGTTTCACCTGCCTGCACTGGGCGGCCAAGCATGGCAAGCCCGAGCTGATAGCACTGATTATCAACTTTGCCAAGCAGCAAAATATTCCCATCAGTGTTGACGTTCGGTCCAACACTGGCTACACGCCGCTGCACATCGCCGCCATGCACAACCACATGGAGGTGGTGAAGCTCCTGGTGGGCGCCTACAACGCGGACGTAGAGATCAGAGACTACAGCGGGAGGAAGGCCTGCCAGTACCTCACCGACAACGTGAGCGTGGACATACGGGACATCATAGGAGCGTACGAGCGCTCTGACTCCGAGAACGTGGACCGCAAGGACAGGCGCAGCTGGAGGTTCTCCAAGGTTCTCCAGTCCAACCTGAAACCCCTCAGGCTCCTCAACCCCAACGACTGTGACTCTTTGGACGGGGAGGCTCGACCCAGAGAGAAACCCCGCAGGAGGAACTCTTCATTCAGCAAGATGAAGCCCAAACTGCAGAGGCTGCGCTTGAGGACGTCGCAGATCGTCCACGGTACTTCGTTCGACCGAGAGGAGAAGGAAGAGTCTGCGAAGGGTTCCTTTAGGTCCAGACCTAAGACTCATTTCTTTGGGTGAGATCAAGACAGGAAATGGTGTCGACAGTGGAAACTGCTGGGGTTCAATATTTGTGGGTTTTATTTTAATTGAGTACCGGGTAATGCTGTGGAAGCACTCAATTCTGATTTATTTCTCAGATCAGATTTCTTGGTTCCGTTGTTCACATTATATATGTAATGTGGCCAATATCAGATTCCAGTGTGAACAGTCCTGAAGTGAACCAATATTGATCCAGAGTGACGTAAAAGTCACTGTTCACACCAAAAAATCAGTCCTTGGATGAAAGTGGCCCAGATCAGAACTGATAGGGCCGCTTCCGCCTGCAGTGTGAGACTCAACGTCTTCCCTTTAAAACGTAATGAATCTCTGATAACATTCACTCATATCTGATGATATCTATCAGCTAGGTTAGACAGGGTCCCTAAATGTTTAAAGATCCTCTCCGGTCAAACGTTAGACATATATACAAACGGTCTGCTTGGAGTAGGAGTCGATACCTTTTCAAGGATGTTAATTAATGAAATTATACTTCTATTTTGGAGCAAAAACATATCAGACAAACATTATTGGAAGTGGACTTTTTGTACATTTATGTCTGGAGGGGATCTTTAAGTTAGTTTGAAGTGCAAACAGCATACAATCTAATCTTTCTATTCATACTTTAAATGATAAGGCTGCAGTTATTCTGTAGTTTTCTATGTGTCAGTCCGTCTCTCAATACCTCCTGACTCCTCTAGCTCAAAGCCCATTGGTTCCTATTCAAGCTTTTTCACTACAGACACAACACAGTAAGGCCATTTTTGGCTCCATCCATGATCTGCCTTAAATGCACACTGCATTACAGTATTTATCAGTTTGAAAAGATTAGATGCTCACACATACAGTAGATGGTGGCATTGTGATCTGACTGCAGGTCAGCCTGCCTCTCTTTATCCGTCCACAGCTGACACTGAAGCCTCCTGACCTTGAGTCTGTAATCGCTGTGTCACAAGATTGTAGTGTGAGGCCACACCAGAGGCAGTAAGAAGATCATTTTACATATCATACTTTCCAGGACCAGAGTTTTAGTCTGGTGACTCAGCAACGTTTGCGGGTGAAATAAAGTTACAGACCTCCCCCCTGGAAATATGAAGCCATCTGGGGAGGGCGAAGTCTAAGAAAGAAAGAAGAAATCCTTTGGTTAAGGCTCTGAGGTTTAAAGATGGTTTACTGAACTGGAATGCAGCTGAATGTACAATATTTTACAAGTTGTTTGGTGAATGTATTCATGACATAGTGGATGGAAACCCTACTGGAAAACAACAACATCAAATGAGCACAAAAGGACAGTTTTAGAGCATGGAAACACAGAAAGTTATGAAGTGTTACATCAGTGAGTCTGTGACACAGCAGGGTTTCATTTAATCCACAACATGCTGCCTCATGTCACAACTCACTGTACAAGTCATGCATGTTAAGGTTCTTAACTAGATCCCAGTGGAGATGAATGGCTTACATTTCTGGGAACACTTCAACAATGGTAAATTTCCATGATGTCATATATGTCCAGTGATCATCTCGCTTTTTAAAATCCATCCATTACTTCCTTGTGAGTAAACCAAGATGGTCTCTCTGTTATTATGCAAGTTTAAACCTCATAACATTTTCAGTGTTTACTAGAAGCATTTATACTGCACTGTTCATACTTTTCATACTATTCATACACTATTTTAATTAAGGATTTAATAGCTATTGCACACTTAAAACTGCTAACTAATATTTTCTCCAGTATAATTCAATAGCTAAATTGGCTAGTGGTTGATAATGCCAGTATTGGTGTTATGGTTACAACGGTATGAGATTTTCATGGTACGATAAGAGTCTCAGAAAATATCAGTTCCATGGTATAACAGTATGCAGTATTACACAATTATTATTATTCTTATCATCATTTACAATGACAAACCTTAATAGACCCTATAATAAAAGAATGGAAACCGAAGCTTTACATTAAGTCCTTTTATTTGTATTTTAGTTCAGTGTATTCCTGCCAAGTATTTTTTTTAAATATTTTTTTAGTATTTTGATGGATGAAAAGTTTGCATGCAAAATTTGCATGGATTAATAATAAATAAAGTACAATATGAATTAGTAGCATTCCTCATTATCACAATTTAGCTAAATGAAATTAAGATATATTAAGTCAAAGATGTGGCATCTCACAAGCTATAGTTGTATAGAATTATGACTTACTAAGTCATACTTGTGAAACACAGTCAGCATTTTGAGATACTCATTTAAAATCTAATCTTTTTTCAAGGTGGCATTAGGCTTCCGTACATGAGCTTTCTGTTCAGGTGCGGACTTCCATACGAAGTGGTGCTTAAAGAAAACACTTTTCCAACACAATCTGCAGTTGGAACATGTTGCATATAGTTTGCTGCACATTCTCTGTTGTCTATGCATCTCCAATTTACCTTACATTTTCCTTGACTCAATGGCACCTTCAATCTTTTTTGCACATTCTAACAAACTTAGATTTTTATTTGCACACTTTTAAAGAGCTCGACCAATATTTTCTTGGGTACTTGTACTTGGGTGATGGAGGCCATTGTATTGGTGTATGTTTTTACTGATGAAAGAAATAAAACTGTATGTAATTGCTCTTTTATAAAGGACTGTGTCTGATTTGTCTTTTGGTAGGGGCAAATCTGAAAATATGGATGGTTTGTTCAGGGTGTCCACAGGGTCTTATAATGATAGTCCAATAATATGAATTTTGTTTTCTGAATTTTTTTTATTGATCTTTACTCTTTTAGCCAGTACGGATGGGAAATAGGTCTTGCATTCATATCTTAAAAAAGTCTTACATTTATTCCTGTTTTTATGTAACCTAAAATCAGTTGTAGGCATTTAAGGGGACTTCCAGTTGTCCTTTGTTGTAGCTCTCATGAGATTCTGTTGGTCCCCAGCAGAATGAACACTTTGACAAAGTCAACTTTCCCACTCAAGAAAATGAATACTTTCAGTTTTCATCCCTATAATCTGTCTACCCCACATGGCCAAAGTATGTGGACAATGGACTCCTCCTGCTGTATGTGACATACATTGTAGAATCAGATCTTCCACGCACCATGTTGAACCTGGCTGCAGGGATTTTCTCCCCATTCAGCTGGGTCCAGCACTAATGTGAAAAACCACATGAAGTAGCAAAAGCTGGACGTTCCAAGCATTTATCCATTCATTTTAGCGAATTCTTTTAATAAAAAAAAAATAAAATTAATACATTTTTTTATATAATTAACTTTTTCTCTCCTCTCCTTTCTTGCGGTCAGGGGCAGATCTAGATGGGTGGCTTCCCAAGCTGTGCATTTTTAATGTGTTAAAAATGTAATTGAATTAAAATGAACACATAATTTAATGTGTTATGGCCACATTTTAGACCTAAGTGAAGGCTTATATTTTCTGTATTATTCATTATTTTAGTATTTGGAAAAATGTCTTGATTTGGAAATAAATCAATTTTTGGATTTCTAAATGCGACCTTTAGATATTTATATTCAATGCTTTACTAACGTGCCACTATAATATAATGTTTTTTAGTTCAAATATATTAATCCCTTAAAGTCTCAATGCAGCCGTCTGGCCACCCCATGAATATTTCTCTAGATCTGCCCCTGCTCTTAATTACACATAAGACACCTTAAAACACCTAAAGTAATTGTTATAGCTGACTCAGTATGTGGATTTATTTTATTTTTATTAAATCATTAATTTTTCAAATTAGTTGAGCTACTCCAGTATCGCCTGGTGGGGAATCACTGTTTCAATATTTATTTGAGAAACAAAGTTTGAGTAACTGGGAACCCTCTGTGTGGTTCGTTCACCCACTAGATGGCGCTCCAGCAGAGGGAATCATCCTGTGTGCCCGGCTGCAGCAGAGTCATCCTCTGTGTGTCATTATGACTCACCAGAGGTGGATCACACAGGCTGGATTCTCCACAGGGAGAGGAGGATAATCTATGGCTGCCGCACATAATGACAGATTGTGCTGAATTAATGCTTTTCATTGTTTCCCAAATTCTCCCACAGGGAAGTAAATTCCCAGTGAGCCGGCCTTCACATCCTCAAAAGCACCCTGTTTGGGTTGAGTGAAATCTTGAGAAAGATTGCGTATCACTTCTGAAGAATTAGTAAACCAAAGGTCAGCAAGTTACTGGCAAAGTGAAGTGGTATGTTTCTAAAGAGAAGCCTGGTTTGACTTTTTAGCCTGCCCAGGCACAACAAGGATAGAAATGTCTCCTCACAATGTTTCCCTGTCAGACATGATGTATCTATCTGCTCTCAGGATTAGCCTCTGCACCAAATCCCATTTTCCTGTCCAGGAAGGCTGCCTTGACATATCCGCTCAATTTAGACAGAAAAGCACAGATTTGTCAGGGTTATTCCTCAGGATCGTGTTGTTTTACAAGCTAGCCATGTTGCTTAACATCACAAAGGTCGAGCTGCGGTCAACTGACAGCTGCCTAATGACTATATTTAGTATGTATCTTCATGCCTTAATTGGTAGATTGGAAAAAAGTGCACAAATAAATCCCAAAAATAAGTCTATAACATGTTCACATCACATTTACACTGAATCCAATGGCCCCAATCATTTGATATACTGTAACTCCTTATATATTTCTGTATCACACTGTATTTAGTCATTAGGTACTAGGGGTTACTCATTTTATCCCATAGGAATATATTATAAAATGTCTCTTAGGTGTGCACAATGGTAATACTGAACCCAGACAGGCCAACAGATTAGCATTTTTCTTAAGGAATCGATATTGTAACAGTCCAGAATATGTGTGTATGAAAAATTATGAAGATCTGAAATTCCTATCCTATTGTCCTAGAAGTGTTTTTTCCTGGAAAAAAATAAAAAAAAAAAAAAAGAATGTTAAGAAATACTTGAGCTGACCGACTTGAAAGACCAATCACTGCAATCTGACTCAATCTGGGCAAATCGCACTGACAGGGAAGTACTCAGATTACACATTCTTCTGTACTGTATGGAAGCCAAGAGAAGCCAAGTGCTCATGATATCTTTAAAGGACCAGTGTGTACGATTGAGTAGTATCTAGTGGTAAAATTATTGACTGCAACAGCCTTAAAAAAGTTAACGAAAACTAACCTAAAAACAAAAAATAATAAAAATAAAATTATACAGGAAACGGCTTTAGTTTGAGTCTAGTCACAATGTAGTAACGGTTGCCTTTTAAATGATCCTGCCGACATGATGCACCCCCGCTGGCTGCCGCTCACATTGCAATTTAACAACAAGTAGAACTATTCAGAGGTTATTGGGGCGGTCCAGTTTAACTCCACATACTGTTGTGTTGATGTAGCTTATTGTCAAAATGTTCGATTTCTTCCAAGTTGACTTTTAAACTAACAGCTCCACCAAAAATGTCACCACGGTGAGTCCGTTGTTTTAATTGGACAACGTTCAACTTGTCAGTTCTCGTCAACTACAAACAATTGTTCAAGTGCCATACGTAAAATGTTTGCCGGCGTGACGGGACGGTGGGACGTGACGGCGGGACGTGACGGCGAGGGGGGTTCGGACGGGCCTGCCCCCACTGCTAAAAAAAATCCTAAAGGAAACACTGTTATAATAATAAGAATAAAAAAAAACATTTTATGCAATAAAAACTGAACTGAAACTAGCAAACCTTTTAAGATGGAAAATAAATAAATACATGAAATAATACAAATATAATAAAAAATGACCCAAAAAAAGATTAGACTCTCAAAGCAATTTATTTATTAGTGATTAACATATTTGTGCCATTAGAGGGACATTTTTCTCAATCTGTTGATATAATAAATGTAAACAGACTATATGACTGTAAATTAAAACACACTGGAAAAAGGCATCATTTAGTAATCATTGTAAACAATTGGTGAGCAATATATAATCAATAAATTGGACATTTGATTGAATTTCAGTGTTAACTGGCCCACTACTGAATGAAATGCTACAATGTGTTCTTGATGTGCGTACCTTTAGTTATCCATCGTGGCTAGCTTCTGTCTCAGTGCTTCTTAGTGAGTTCTCTTAGTACTTGTGCAAGGTTTAGAATTGACCCTATTGTTTTGTGTCATTTAATACTCTACATTATGTCCTCACGCACCTGTGTTTATTCATGACTTGATTGTGTGACCCATCACCAACATGTTACTGCCCCCTTGTGGTGTGGCATACCAGTATCCAAACAATATAAACTACGATTTCAAAAAGAAGCCAAAAAACACCCATACTGGCTTCAACACAGTGCAACTGAAATGTATACAGTACATTTTACAGGGCGGAGGTGGCATAACAATAACAGAGCAGAGGATATTAGAGACACAAGAGTCTTATGCTAACTCTTTTTATACTAACAGGAAGTAAGACAACACGATTAATAACAGTTACCAGTAAGTGCTGCAGTAGTTTATACGATGACTTTGGTCCTTTATGATCTTTTTGGAATATCAAGCAGATGGGGCTGTTGGACCTTTGCTGATTGGATACCTGCATGTTAAATCTAAGCAATCACATCTGATCATTACTTAAAGCCTCTCCAACAGGGATCATAAACTGTCAGCCTGGGGGCCATTTCCGGCCCGCAACACGATGTCAAAAATATAATATAATATATAATGATTTTTCTAGTTGTTTCAAAACCACTTACTTTATATAGAATAAAAATAAAAACACTAAATGCGTGCAGACAGAAGGGAGAAGGTTTCAGGCCTTCATTTGTGAGCTGCAAACATTTAGCTTTATGTATTAGTATGATGTTAGTAATAGAAATATTTTCATATAGCACTTTCTTGTAGTAGTTGAACATTGAAGTAGCCTTGCTAAGAGATGGCAAAACCAGCAGTGGCCCCAAGCCAGTTTGAGTGTGAGACCCCTGCCCTACAAGGAACTTTCATTTTGTCGGCCCTTGAGGAGGCATTAAGAATAACTACATAGAAATAGCCAGTATTCTCTCTGATGGTCTTGTTTAGGTCCTATAGAGCCACCAGTATTAAAGTGGAACAGTTCAGAACTCCCTGTAGTACTTTTAAGCAGGAAGGAAACCATATGCTGCGTTTTAGCCGGCTCGCATTACTGTTCTACCCAAATTTGGCGATGGTGTCTGAAATGAGATACAGCTAGAATCATGTTGTCCTGATCAGCAGCAGACACAATGTACATTCAACTATATTCATAATATGGCAGCTCACAGTATTTCAGCATGAAAAGACACAATTACACTTCCTGATAATCCAGAACATACATGATACAAATTATTTCACTGCGTTTCACAGATTCAAGCAACAACATTAAAACTGATTTTCGCTTGGAAAATATACACCCATACTTCATTAGATGGTCTGACTAAAAATTTTAAAAACATTTCTCTCAACATTTGGAAAACATAAACATAGAAAATGTTAAAAGGATAAGGCTGGATTAATTCTATATTTTCCTTACGGTCAAGTATTGAGGCTATGGGATTTAGCCTCAATACTTTCAGACTTTCTGTCTGTGGCTCTCAGCTCCAAGCCCATTGGTTCTTACTGATAATGTGAATCTTTAAAAACGGTCCACAAATATAGTTTCACCTTTTATGAAGGCTCAGTAATTTTCTTAAACAGCTGCTCACTGTGGTTTTTAATCAAATGTTACTCAAACAGGAGGAAATTATGTTTTTGTTGGGGACTATTTTCAGCGGTGGATTAACTGACATTTGGTATTTCCAGTAGCAGGACGGTGCATGGGGGACTCATTGTTGGTTTTGTTCTTTTCATGGAATTAATGACAAGAAAAACACAGACTTTTGCTAGCCTTATCCTTAAATGTCACAATAAGGAGAAGAGATGTAATTATAATGTCTAACAATTGGCTCCAACTTGGTTGGCATTTTGGACTGTTAACTAAAGCTAAAGCCATTAGTATTGCACTACAATTGTTTTATTTTTTAACATTTAGATCTGGTTGAGTCAGTTTTAAATTCTTTTTGGCTTAGAAACAACCTGGGAAAACTTAATTTCCATAATATCAGTATGTTTTTAGTAGACTCAAACTAAAAAAAAATGTCCCAGTTAAAAATCTGCATTTGTTTTGTAGAATTCTATACAATTTACACACATTACTTATTAGAAATATGGAAACAAATAGATTCCGTGCCCCCCAAAAAAAATTAATACGTTTGTAGGCTTAAATAGGCACCGCTAAGGCATTTAGGTTGCTCGTATGATCAAATTGTCTGTGATTATTTAACACAACAAAGCTGCACTACGAGAAAACACTTGGCATGATACCCAGATTAGTCTGGTTCAGTGCCTACAAGAACAACAAGTGCCCGACTGCTCGATGGCACAGGATTACGGGTGAGCATGGAGATCCATGTTGGGACAATGTAAAGTGAGGCAGTGGTTTCATATCATTGGTGAGATACCGTCTCTCAGATAACTCTGGAAGATGTAGAGCTATCCCTGTGTGAGGGTTACCAGCAGGGTGGGTGAGGCCTCTTAAAGGCCCACTAGCTCGCAGCTCTTCTTCCACATCTCGGCTTGTAGCTCAAAGTCGTAGGAGATGTCGGAGGACTGCCTCTTCTCGCCGTTGTACAGATAACAGCCCCCCACGCCCTCCATCTCAGAGGCAGTCGCAGCATAGATGGTTATGGATGCTCCCTCTGCCGGAGTCTGAGGACATGCATGAAGAAAATAACCATCAACAGGTTGGTTTAAAGGCAAAAGTACCATAATGAGTTTAGTTCCTCGGAATTCTGAGGTGGATGTTCATCTTATACTTAATAAATAACAAGCAGACTTCAGAGAAGTCAGAGGAGGAGCATTCATTCTCATAAACAATGCCTACAAATTGAACCTTCCTAGGCCACGCCCCTTTTCTCAGTGCTCCAATAACAGTTGAGCAAGCCTCAGTAAGCTTTCTCCTGTGTGCTAGGCTTTCCTATGTCAAAAAGACAACCAGATTTTTTTTTAATGGTTCAAAGCTAAAAGTGTGAACACATAGTCACATCTTAAGTTAACTAGCTAATGTTAGCAACACACTAACTAACTAGCTTATAGACATCAATAGTTAGCCAGCTAGTTACATCTTAATTGAAGCCCAATATTACAATAACCATCTACAAAATATCTGTCAAATGGGAATGTAATATATGCCATCAGAGGAGCGTAAAAATGAAACAGGACAGGAAATCATTAAAGTGAAATATAGTTGACAGCACTGATACTTTCTTTCAATAAAATGACTGCACAGGAAATTAAACCCTGCTTCTACACGCATATTGAATGTTGTGGGGAAACCTTACAAGGCTATGATCTGTCACATAAAATTAGAATTAATGAATACTTTCTGCCTTAATTATTTGAGGCTTTTGCCTTGAGTGTATGCTAATAACAAAGACAATTTATTAGATGTATTCAAAGGACTTTCAATTATCCATAGCCCAGCATTTATGGGAAATGTGGTTACTGTCACAAGTCTTCAATTAAGGATAGTTGGAAGCTATCTTGGCTGCCACAGGGAAGACAGAGTTGTGAAACTACTGCACGGTCTTGCATACATATTATTAGATGCAGCTGTCAGGGTCAAACAGACCTTTAGTGAAGCATTTTTATTTCGTACTATTGAGCGTCTTATAAATATTGCTCTTTTGCGGCTTCTTTTCTTGACTCTTAATTCTAAACAATATTAAAGATCTCTTCCATGTCAAAATCCTCAGTGTCAAACACTCCGTCCAAAGATACGGATATTCTGTCACACTACACCTGCTCACACCCATCTCTCTGAATACCTTAATGGAGGCAGGGTTACATTTACCACCTTCACTCAGTCCTTAGTATCGTTAACCCAAATTGTAAGCCAAACTTCTTAAACAGTTTCTAGTTATTCCAAAGCACTCTTTTTTTTATTTATTAAAATGCCTTTGCTGTCATTGTGACGTCAACAACAAATGTTTGACTGCTTGATACATCAGAGTTAGTTCTTAGGTCTAACTTTACCACGCTGTGATAATAAAGGCCTTTTAATGGTTCAAAAGAGAGTGCCTTGGATTGTTCTTGTGATTTTTGTGTCTGTATGTTTGAGCACCTCAGACAAACTCAAATTTAGTCCAGGAAGTGCTCCTAGACAAACTTTTTCAAGTTTCAAGTTACTGTCAGTCCATGGTTTGCGGCAAGTGTTAACACAGTGGTTCCCAACCTTTCTCCTTAAGGGAACCCCTTTCGATCTTTGAGTAAGTAAGTTACTTAAGTAAGTATTTTATAGTACAGTAAAGAACAACTGATAAACTGTACAATGAACCCAAACAGTAAACCCCACAACTGTAGGAAGAGTGGATGAATTTTGGGCAGATTCCTGTAAATATTACATCAGAGGTGAGTTTTCTGATGGTTTTAGGCACTTTTTATACACTTATATGTCTATCATACATTCTAAGCAAACAATTTAATTTTGGTGTTTGTTGTTTTTCTTCACAGAAACAGACGAAATGCAGAGATATTGGCCTATTGTGTTTTGGTGTGCCTCAAAGGTCTGTTGTTGGCCCTTTTTTACTTTCAATCTTTATGCGACTGTTTGGAACTGTTTCATATTTTGTTCAAAGTACTTTTATTGTGAAGCTATTTGAGTCTTTTGTTTCAAAGAGCTATATAAATAAATCTTCACTTACATACTTATCAGGCAGGCAGTAAGTAACAAGTCATCTTCACAAATCACATCATAGGATAGATAAAGGCTGGCTGATACATCAAATTCTTTCAATTAATGAGAATTTTTGCACAATTTGCAAAACGTTTACATCGTGAAAAATATATAATTTTATATTCTCTCTTTATGCTCATTGTAAAGTAACTGAAGTGTAAATATGTACCCTGAACAGTGTCTTGGCCACTGGTTTCTTCAGTGCCTGTGCGAGGCTCCACAGGTTGTCGTACAGCGCTGTGTCCACCATGCCAGGGTCCACGGCGTTTACGATCACTGGGAAGCCACCGGCCGCCAGCTGTTCCTGCAGGTAGTAGGTGAAGAGGACCAGAGCCAGTTTGCTTTGGGAGTAGGCACCATGGGAACTGTAGCATATCCTGGAGAAGGGGGGAGGGGGAGGGGACGAGAGTGTGTGCAGATTAACTTTGAAATCATGCTGTCATTGAAATGAGCTCTGCCAGCTTCGCCCTGAGCCATCACAGTCGATTATAGTTCTCAGCTGTGGGTTGACTATGATGGTCTGGAGGCTGATACCAAGTGTGGAATAGTTTTGAATTTTGAACATTATAGCTACTGATAAGTTGCCTGTACTGTGTAGTATTTAGTGCAAAGGACTGTGTGGAAGACAATGCAGTTATCTGAATATAAGAGTTAATTTAGCTTATTAAGAGAAAACCCAAAAAAATTTTGGGAGATAATAATAAATAAAGATAACAAAGATAATCACAAGAACACTTTTCTCAAGATCACAGGATAATTATGGAGAACTCAGAAATGAGAGTCTGGTTCTTCGATCACACCTGATTTTAGCCCTCAAGGAAAAGAGCTGATGAGCAAATTACACTACACATGCTGATAAACTAAACCGACAAACAATACTTCTATTGGAAAACAGAAATATTTGTATATATCAATTTAATGAAATGATTAAAGATTTGAAATACAAATGTAATTATTATTGCATTAATAAAAGTGAGGGAATATATTCAAAAGATCTTTAATGACATCTTGCACTGAAAACATTTTTTTCTATTCAGTTCTGAAGCTTAAATACCTAAACCAGCCTGCCTCCCTGTGTTCCCCTCACATTGTTTCCACACACACACACACACACACACACACACACACACACACACACAGCAAAGACAACATCCACTCATTTCCTGAGATGAGACAATGCCATCGATCAGATCTCAAAGTGCAGGCGAGCTGCTCCACTGTGATGCCCTTGAGGAAGGACTTCACTGTGTTCCTCTTTGTGCTATCTATGAGGCAATATTGCTATGAAAAGCAATAACTGCAGGATATTCAACTACAGGAGAGCCCGGTCTGACCTCAGATGATGGATGCCTGCACTTAGCAGATTTTATGTACAAACTGAGCAGGTCTGCTTTTCCAAAACACACAGACTGATTCTAAAAATAAGAATAAAACCTTCTTTACCTTAGCAGGGAAATAATGAAAACTATTATTCACACTGTAACACAACCATGTACTGCAAGCAAAAGGATGTAGCATTATATCTCGTGTCATGCTGGATTAGCAAGTTAGCTACCAGGTACACTGATACACATGGCCAAGATTGAAATACTGGTCAAGTCCTTAAAATGTTTTATTTGGAGTTCTCATACTTCAATTATTTAGTCTACTGTCCAATTACTGTATGTTTCCTTAAAGCTGCAGAAGATTATTTTTTGAAAAATAACTTTTTGTCCTATTTTCTGAAACATTCACTATATCCTGACAGTAGTACATGCATGAGACGGATAATCCGTTTGGCTCTGATTGGTTACCTTTGTTTAGGCCCGTGGATTCTTACAAATAGCATTAGGAGTGCTAGGAGGAGCTGGAGGAACTGATTTGTTGAATTTGAGAATTTGTGTATGGATTATCTGTCTCATACTGTCCGGCTATAGTGAAAGTTTCAGCAAAGTTACCCCCTACAGCTTTAATATTTTATGTGCATATTCATTTGAGTGTGTTGTTTCAAAGGAAGTGTTTGTGACGCTGCCTAGTGACCTAGAGAACAACAGTTTATGGATTTCTCTTACTTCCTATTTAGGTCACCCATGTGGATAACTCCTGCGTAGTGTGTAGCAGAGGACATGTTGACGATTCTGGAGCAGCAGCCATATTTCCCCGACCTCTTCAGCACGTCCAGCAGCAGGTTGGTCAACAGGAAATGGCCAAGGTAGTTGAGCACAAAGTGGAGCTCAAAGCCTTCCTCTGTATGTCTCTCAGGAACCAGCATGGTTCCAGCTACATGAGAATGATAGAAGATAGAGACTTTTTAAAACTATAACACAAGTAGGACTTTTCATGCATTTACAGAGACAATCAAAGCAACCTACCATTGTTAACCAGAACATGTAGGGGGAGACCTCTGCTTTTGAATGTTTGAGCAAACTGTCGCACAGACTTCAGCGAAGTCAGGTCCATGAAGAAGAACTCAGCTGTCAACAGAAAAATGATGTTAGCACAGATTCCAGAGAGTTGTTTTTTTTTTTTTTTTTTTTTTTTAAAAAAAGGTTTTTTTTTTTTTTTTTTTTTGTTGGATTTTTTTTTTTTTTTTTTTTTTTTTTTTTTTTTTTTTTTTTTTTTATAAAAGGGGGGGGGGGGGGGGGGGGGGGGGGGGGGGGGGGGGGGGGGTTTTTTTTTTTTTTGGGGGGGGGGATTTTTTTTAATTGGTGGGGGGGGTTTTTTTTCCTCCTCCCCTCCCCTCCCCTCCCCCCCCCCCCCCCCCCATTTTTTTTCTTTCCCCCCCCCCCCCCCTTTTTTTTTTTTTTAAATTTTTTTTTTTTTTTTTTTTTTTTTTTTTAAAAAAATAAGGGGGGGAGGGGGGGGAAGAAAAAGGGGGGGGGTTTTTTTGGGTGGGGGGAAGTGGTTTTTTGTTTTTTTTTAAATAAAAAATTTGGTCTCTCTTTTTTTGGACTTAAAAAAAACATTACCTTATGTCTTAGTTGAGTTGGGTTGTGGTATGTATTTTTGTAAATGAATTGAAAATACGTAGCCTGGGGAAAAACGGCCAAGCTCATGTTTTATGTGTGAATAGAAGATTGCAGGTGAGGGTTGTACGATGAAGGTTTTTTTTTTTGAGCGGAGTGGTGAGCGAGTGGCGCGGGATAAAATTTATGATAGAGTGGAGCGGAGAATGCGCAGAACCAGGCGGAGCTGACGAGTGGCGCAAATTGACAGGTCTGTGAGCGAGGAGTGGAAATTTTCACCCGGTCCGCTCCGCTCACATGCTCTGCTGTCAACTTTGAACGATATTACTACAGAAGCCGAGAACGGCCATGGATTTTAATTTTTTTCTGCACTCTTATCTCGTGATAACGACTTATTATCTCGTTATCTCGATATAACAAAGATTGTTTTCCCTTTATAACAAATTAATTTATTTTATTATGAAAAATTTGATAACGAATTAATCTTGATTTCAACCTGAGCTGCCTCGAACGGCTTCCGTAGCCACTGGCTGTAGCTGTAGCCTACCGGTAAGTTACACTTTACGTAAGTTTGTTTACTTGACTGGAAGCCGTTCGTGGCAGCTCTTGTAGGTTGAAATCAAGACGAACACATTATTAATTAATTCGTCATCACAAGAAAACAATCTTTGTTATATCGAGATAACGAGATAATAAGTCGTTACAACGAGTAAACAGTGCATTAAAAAATAAAAAAAATCCATGGCCGTTCTCGGCTTCCGTATATTACAATGATATGCAAGTTGAAATTACAGTTTTCGTCAATGGAGTCTGGTGGCTAGCGATATTATGGCCTTTTCTGGTTAAACTAAAGGTTTATTTATTTAACTTATCTATTTATTTATTTACACTTAGATTATCAATCTGAGCCTGTCCGTGGGATGTATTTTGACGGGCGTAGTTGGCTTATGCTGCAGCAATTAGAGCCCTTTTCATGAATATTTTAGAATAATATCTAAATTGGTGAATTAAATGTTAATTTTGACCAAATCAGCATTGATGATTGTTGGAAAGACTGTGGAAAGACTAACAAAGCCATTCTGTCCCTGTTGAATTAAGTTATGATATTACAATGAAATGCGAGATAAAATAAGCATTTTTGTAGATCGAGTCTGGTGGTGAGTGAAAGCGATATTATCGCTGTTTCTGGTTAAACAAAGGTCTATCTCTGCTGGGATCCTTTCCATAATACATTAAGAATCACAATCAGAGTCTGTCAGTGGCAAAAACAAGCACTTTTAGTGGATGTATTTTGACAGGCGCAGTTAGTTTATCATTGCAGAAATGTTGACGTATATTTTTTACATCTAACTCTGTAAATTAAGGGTTTATTTTGACCAAACCAGCATTGGTGATTGTTGGAAAGACGGTTTGCTGAGTTTTATTTTGTTTCTGTCCCATTGTTTTGGTCTGAGATGCTAGTGCAACATCCAGTGGAAAGTGAATTTTGTATATAGAACCTGTGCTACAAAAGAATATTATTAAGAATATTATTTCAGACACAACAGATTTGGAGGTCTGCATTGAATGCAGGATTAAAGCTCTGTACAGCTCTCTAAACCATGGTACAGTCTTATTTCTTAGCAACTGCAGGCATGTTATTCATGAGTCACTTGCCACTGCTTGTGGCTTTTTCTGAGCTAACTGCTCAAGCACCTAATTAAATCAATTAAACTCCCCCATTGCAGCGTATTCTGCATTACACTAATTGAGATGCCACAGAAGAGAGGGTAAAAGTAGGGTTTGAAGTAAGGTCGTGCTACAGAATGTCCATGTAAAGAAGCACATGAAAAGGCCTTCAGTAAATCACTAGTCTAATTAGCACTGTTTCCCACACACAGTCGGACTGAAACAAAGAGCTCTTTGTGTAGAGATGATATGATGGCGGTCATTAGATTGGCCTATTTGTGCAGCACTCTCCTGTGTTTAGGATGAAATACACTCCACTGGAAGATTTTTAAATTTTCTTGCCTCTACATCACTTCAATCAGGTTATGAACAGCTGGCTGCCTTCATGAGTCCCATTTAAAGCTGCTTTCATCAGTACTGTTCAGTCATTGGCTCTTGGGTTGACATCAGTGCAGTTTGTACAAAGTGAGTATTTTACGATTAGTTTTTTAGATTGAAAGGAAATAGGTCAGCTCTCTACAGACACTGGCTGACTACACATGAAGAGCTATGTTATAAGTACAAAAGTAAAAAAGCAAATTTGATGTCTTCTCAGAACAAATCACTTCAACCAAAAACAAAAACCCCCAAACCCTTGTGTTTCGGAGTCATTTCCCAGAGTAACTTCACATTACGTATTCATTTATAATGAACCACACACTTCTCTTGGTGAGACACGTGTTTTCATCCTGGTGTTGCTATCATGTGCCCTGCATATTTTTTTAAATACTTTTTTTTAACTTAAGTACAATTTTGGGGTACTTGCACTCTACTAAAGGGACAGTTCACCCCAAAAATCATAAAAAAATATATATTTTTCCTCTTACCTGTAGTGCTATTTACAAAAAACACATCTACTTTTAATTTTGGGGTGCCTTTAAATATTTTAAAATAATAATTACCATTTTATGGTGCTTAACTCTTCTACATTTGGGAGGGAAATATTGTATTTTGGCTTGAAGGTTCGTTGCTGACCTTCAAGCCTAAGGTCCCATTGACACAGAGAATTTTTGTCAAATCAAATACTTTTACTTTTTTACCCCACTACATTTATATTGATGGCTGTACCATCATTAGTAGTTACTTTGCACATTTTCTAAAATATTGTCCATTGTTATAGATTAAAGATTAAAGGTTAAAGTTTTACCTTTCTCATGTGATCTATGTAATCCAATAATATATGATAATCTAATTGACTACATTCACTTTTGTATATTTGTATAATTTTTCATTTAAATCTAAATTTTAAATGAAATTTAAAGATTACATTGCGTTTACCACTTTTATTTAAAGCGAGATTCATGTCCTGGTGAAGTACGCTGTGGTCATGGCTTCTGCTATTTTTGTGATAAAACCATTGCGATATTTATATTTAACTTGCTAAACTGTAACATAACAATAGTACAGGTAAAGACGACTCATCATGTCAGTGATCTGACTCTGTAATGTCAGTAACACAGCAATATCTAACAAAAGCTTGCTAACATTAGCCACTATAAACTACTAGTCATAGCAGACCAAGTAAGGTGGCAATAACAATTGAGTTGAATTAAGCAGCAGTTTGTTTTATTACTTGTGGATTTAACATTTCATTTGTGAGAGAAAGAATGTGCTAGTTCTTCTTTAAAAGGTTTCATAGTCTTATTAATGACTCACATTAAGGATCTGATTACATTGCCTATAACTATTTATTTGTTCTTTTTTATATCATGCCACGGCAAGAAAAAGAAAATCGGACCAAGATCACATTATAACGTAAAGATTTTCTTGATATAACAATGTAAGTTATCATAATATGAAACTTCATGTTATAACAATAAATTATAAGTTTTAAGTTAAATATTATAATATATATATTATATTATATTATAACAAGATTAATTGGATATCGTAATATCAAGAAGTTTCTTCTTGTAACGTGATAACTTTGTATGTCGTAATAATGTGAAAAACATCTTGTTATAACAATAAACCTCAAGTAATAAAATAATACTGATCCATTTTTATTTTTCTCGTTGGCATCAACAAGCTGACGTATAATTAGGTCTTGGTAAGCCACAGAAAAAAATGGCCCTCATGATGGGCTATTCTGTGAACTCTGATATATGCACCTTCATTAGTAGACCGAAAGTATCCGTGCAATAATTTCTTGCAACCCATAATCAAGACTTATACCCCTCTAACCTACACACAGAGGGAGCAACATTTTGCCTTCTACAGATATGTCATGTCAACTGGCAGCTGCTGCTCAGGAGTGTCCTGCTGTGGTGACTGTGCCAGAATGCCAGCTGGAAGCTGCACGGTGCCAATTGTAACAAGTTAAAACCATCTGGAGTACACACGTGATGTGCATGCACACACATACACATCTTTATCTAAAAGATGTTGCTGAAAAGCTGGCACACGTCTCAGTATACAATTTACACACTGCTGTCGCTGACATGACTGATAATTTCAGAGAACAATTTGGCTATCCTATGAGGAGAGTGTGCAGCAAAAAGTTTGTTTCATATAAAACTTACACTAGAATATAAAAGCATGATTTAAGTTGATATTAAATCGGTTTAATGTAAAGTTATAACAGAAAGATTTTGTGGCCAATCTTCTAAAAATTTAACTGAAACAAAATAAATGACTACAAATGACTTTCTACACATGATGTCTTGACTTAAATGACAGATGTGACTGAAGACAAATTGAGGTGGAGACAGAACATTACCTTTCCCCTTGCTGCCTTCTTCTTGAATCATCCTGACAGCTGCTTCGCCCTCTTCTTTTTCGTTCCCAGCTGAAGATGATGGAAATCAGAGAGGCTTGGTGGGCAGATGTCCAGCAGATATTTCAACTCAACCCTACTGTCTGCACTGACTCAACAAGACTGGCTAAAGCTCATGTCATCTCTCTTTACATGTATTCATGTATCCTTAAAATGATCAAGATCACTGTCATACATAGAACATCATCTAAGCTTTATTTTTAAAATCACTTTGACTTCAGAACAAAACAAAGAACATGTAATCACAGAGCATCTGACTACAGGGGATGGTTCCTGCTGTTTGATTAAAATGTAAGATCATTAATACAGTCAGTCAGTTCAATGGAATTAATATAATACGGTGCAAAGCAACAGACCCTCCAGAGGCTACTGGTGGATCTTTCACTCGTAGGTCTGTTAAATACTCCACACGATGTGCACCAATTTGAATGAAAAATATTAAATCTTTGATACACTATAAATCCAAAACACTGTGTCCAATATTAGGATATAAACCACAAATTTTAAATTACACACAATGTGATGATCGGGCTGTAGCTTAAATTAGCCAATCATGAACATGTGCATCATAAGCTAAGTTCATAATCCCCAAAAAACGAACTTTGAAAAGAGGACCGCACAAATTTGGCCCCTATGTTGTTACGCAAGTCTTAAAATAAATAATAATTATACACAATCAACCCTTCCTAAACCCCGCCCCTTTTTGTTCTGTGTTCCAGTAACAGTTGAGCAAACCTCAGTCGACGTGCTAGGCTCATCTAGGTTGAAATTTCAAGATAAAAGCGATATAGTCGTAATAATAAATTAGCAAATGTTAGTAAACGCTAGCTAACCAGCTAATCTATATCAAGTTTAAGCTAGTTTATTACATCTGAAGCTAAAGGTAGCAAGATGCTAGTTAACTACCGGAATAATTTACATAAAATTGTTAGTTGGCTAAAATTTGCTAACATTAGCTGACTTAAAATGTGACATGTCGTTTTCATCTTTTAATAATCTTCCAAATTTGGTTCTCTTTTCAACATAGACTAGCATATCCAAGTACAGAAAAGGAGAATGTTATCTAGGATTCTGACTACGGCTGAGAACAAGGCAAAAAGGGGAGGAAGGGTCAATTATGGCGCATAACCAGTGTCTTCTGAGACAGCAACTGCCTTATTTATTTAAAGTAAAAAATGAAGGAAGAGAAAAAAATTACACATTAAAGCTGGACTGCAGAGAGATGCATTAACTTGCAGGGAGAAGCAGGGTATTTATAATATGGCTAAAGGCATATGATTGGACAGTAGCCTACCTATGATAACATGCATGCCCAGACTTGCCAGGTGTCTCGCTGTCTCAAAACCCATTCCTCTGGTACCCCCAGTCACAATGGCAACCCTTCCATTTTGCTTGGGTAAGACTGTGTGGGAGGAGAGAGGGGACCACATGAGAACAATCTTTCATTTCCAGTATTATTATTTTTTTATCAGTGTCAATATGATTAGATTTTTTCCTGTGTAAATAACAGGTAGGGTTAAATGTAATTGCGTCACTGCCCTTGCCCTTCACTGAGTCTCATTGATCCAGTTCGAGACCTTGCAGGGAAGAGGGACTCTAAGAATTTGTTTTCTTTTCAGCAGTTCATGTGTCAGACAAGACGCTGCCACACAGAATTTGAAGCAACAACAGAATGGAACTCCAATCAGTCCAGATTGACCGCCAACTGACTGACATAGACGAAAACGGAAGGGTAATCTATGTGGACTAAAGGTCTGATCTGTAATTAAGACAAGAATCAATTACAATAGAATCTGTTCCCCCTGTTGAAGATAAACAGTTGCATTTATAAAAGTGCATCAATGTTGCAATAAAATTGGAAAGTGTAGACATTAAACAGTCAGGTAAATATTGAAAACAAAATCTTTACTTGCATAAAGTGTTTTACATCATAATGTATATGTACCATTGTTCTACAGAGCAAGACATTTTAAAACTTGTCCATTGTTAATGCTACAATATCCATATATTGTAGGTATTTACAAAATACATCCCAAACAAAATTAACAAAAAAACAAAACAATTAAAAGTGCAACAAAAAGGCCAAAAAGAAACAACAGAGCTTACAGCATACGGAGTCGATGCAACATATTATTATTCTATATTCATTAGAATTCTTTCAGGTTTTGATTACGGATTTGTTGGATCCAATATAAGCATCAACCATAGCAGCTGACATATGATTTTCTCTCATTTGTGCAATAACTAAAATAAAATTTATAAAAAAAAGTTATTTGACTTATAGGCTTTAATACACTCCTAAGTTTTTTCTTTCTGTAACTGAGATGAGAAGAAGATCTTCCAAACGGACCCCAGAAAATAGTATATACCCAAAAACAATTAAAAGCAGGGTCCCAATTAGATGCGAGCCCCTTTACTAGCCTTGCGTGGCTACATGTTTTGACAAATGAAAACAGGTCTCTGGGGGGCAAATAAAGGCAGGTCTCTGGGGGGCAAATAAAGGCAGGTCAAGTGATTGAAGCAAATAAAAGCTTGGGCTATTATTTGAAGTTTTACAGTACAGCTACTATGCAGACGTGGTTTCTGCAGCTGTCCATGGACACGTCCGTTTGGGAGTGTATTCGGGGCTTAAGAGTGATTTGAGCTAAATGCTAACATCAGCATGCTAACATACTCAATGTCACACACAATTAAATGCAGGTGTTGGCAGGTATAATTAAAAATAAAGATGGACACTAGCCGTTTCTCCTGCTTACAGTCTTTGTGCAAGCTACGCTAAACATATCCTGGCTTTAGCTCTGTACTTAATATACCTGTTTGAGAACAATCTCCTGATCTCACTCTCAGAGAAAACGCAAATAAGCATTTTAACCCCCCAAAAATTGACAATTCTTGTAAAAGGACATGGCGCAAAAAAATATTTTCATATTGATTATAGGCCAAAACTTAGAAAGGTTATTATAACAGGCCCATTACATTTTTATACTAGTGACTGATACACATAAATATTTTTCAATGCTTTAGCAAGTCTGGCATGTAGGCCACACACTATGCACAGAATGATTTGACTTTAAGCACACGGTCACTCAAGTGGCTGACCCAGACAATAGTTTCCTTCCCAAACATTGTCCAAATCATCCTCACAGGGTTCAGGCTCATAGTAGCTACGCGAGTTCTCGTACAAGAAGACCTGCTGATCTACTAAAGTTGGAGCTATACGGTTCCTTTTCCCACACAGAACAGTCCCAGAGGAGCTGAACAGCCTGTGACAAGGTACACTTGTGGCAGGAACACACCAGTACTTTTGCAGCACCTTAAGGAGGGTCGGGAACAAGGGTGCATGACTTGTCCACCACAGTAAAGGGTCTTCATTTAGACCTAGGACTCTTTGTGATTTGTAGTTGCTCAGCTCCTCTACCACCTGTGCATGCAGCTCCTCCTGGCTCTGGTCTGCATCAGACTGGCAAAATATCGCGGCCAAAGGGTTGTCTTGGGTTACGCTGCTGGCTGAAGATTCTCTTAGGGGTGTCTGCTTTTTGCTAGGTGGCTCATCAGATACCAAGGAGAAATCATCTAGGCATGGTCGGTCTGCAATCTGCTTCTCAAGAATTGCTTTTGCCTCCTCAATGATGTAATTTTCAACTTTAGAGCGTTCCTGAGTGGACAAGAAAGGCAACTTCTTGTACCGAGGATCCAGGAAGGTGGAAATGTTGAGGAATGTTGAAATTTCTTGTGATAATTGTGAATTCTGTGAATAGGTGCTTGATAGGACTTTTGAGATGACCTCTTTGGTCATGCTGATCTCCTTGAGGTCCCCTTCCTTGATCTTGAGGGTGGTGTTCAACAGCATATGAAGCACAGGCCTAACCATGCTAATGGTTGGGTACCTGCAAGAACTTATCATGTTGGCCACAACTTTAAAAGGCTGGAAGACATCAATCAAGCCCTCCAGCAAAGCCCAGTCAGGACCATCAAAGCTGAAATGATGGCTGCCGGAACCCTCCACTAGTGTTGCAGTTACAGCAACCTGTTGCTCTTTCAGTCTTTGTAACATTGCCAATGTGGCCAACCAAGACCTACCCCTGTCTGTGATGAGTGCACACTGAGCTAGGCCATGCTGCTTCTGTTTTTCTCTCAGCAGATACGTTGTCGGTTCTCTGAAATGGTCAACAAGTTTGCGGCAACATCCCAAAAAGCTGTCGACTCTCGGCAGCTGGAAGGCTTCATCCATTGCCCGATTGATGGTATGCCCCAGGCAGGGCATTTCCACTGATAATTCCAGGAGCGAGCATGCTTTGACAATGTCTACTGAACCATTTGTGGTGGCACCGCTGACTTTATGAGTTATTCCCCATTCAACAAAGGCTTCATACATCGCTCTGGTGATGTTCTCTGCTGTGTTGTCCTCTTGTACTTCAAAGGTTTTAAGGCATTTATTGGTCATGGAGAAGCCAGTTGTACTGTAGTAATTAACTGAATGCATAGAGAGTGAAATGTATGTTCTATTCTGGGTTTGGCTTTGCCAAAGGTCCGTTGTAACGCCACAGTTCACAACCCCAGCAAGCTCACTAAAGACGATGTCTCGGCTACGGCAATACATCTGAGGAAGCATTTTAACTGCCAGGTCACTTTTGCTTGGTGGAGAATACCCAGGATCAACCGTACTCATTAAGGTCTTGAAAGTAGGTTCTTCAACTACAGATACAGGGTACAACCCCTCGCAGATGAAGTTGATGACAGCAGCAGTCAGATCATTGTGTCGTCTGTTTTCATAGTCTAAGCTCTGCCTTAAGTTTGTGTCCTGGGACTGTTGCTGAGCATGTATACCTGAAGGCTCGGTCTTTATCCTGGAGAATGCTGTGGCGAACGCCTCGCGCATCTGATCTGTGTTGCTCTTTACAAACTCACTGAACTCTACAGGGTGGTTCTTTTCAAGGTGGTACGACAGATTGGAGGTGTTTCCGGAGTAAGCTATTTGACTCATACATACGCGGCAGTATATCCGTTTCCAGTGCAATATGCAGCCATCTGCATCTGTGTCAAAGCCAAAGTACTTCCAGACTTTGCTTTTTGCCCGTGGGTGTGCGACCAGATTGAGGCCAGAACATGAAGGTCCTGAACTTTTACCCTCCATTGGTTCCTTCAGTAAGCAATCCACTTGGATGCCTTCATTTATGAGTACCTAACAAGAATAGTGAAATAAACATTTGAGGATGTTGATAAAAACATTATAGAATTTGTGGAGATGGGAATCTTTCAACTACAAGCATGAACACATAAAACCAGGTTAGAAGGTCCAGTGTGTAACATTTAGGATCTATTGGCAGAAACAGAATATAATTTTCTATAGGTATATTAATTAGTGTTTGATCGCCTGAAAATAAGAACCATTGTGTTTTTGTTACCTTAGAACGAGCAGTTTAATCTACAGAGGGAGCAGGTCCTTTTCAATGGAGTCCGCCATGTTGAATTGCCATGTTTCTACAGCAGCCCAGAATGGACAAACCAAACACTGGTTGATTGCAATCTTCAATCTCACCACTAGATGCTACACACTGGTCCTCTAGGGCAGTAAATCTGATTATCTTACATAGCTACTTCCTGCTTAAACTTTGACCTACTCCACTTATTTGTGCACCCAATGTTTTACCATGTAGTGGAGGATGATAATAGACATAAACCTTCATTCGCATTTTGGATATGTGGTTTAAATAACTGCTGACAACAACACTTTCATTCAAAACAAACACAAAAAATAAAGAGCAGCCCGGTTCTAAAGCTGGAGTTTTTCAGTCAGGCTTTATGTTTTAGTCACGGTGTGGGATATTCCTTGTAAATACCAAGAATTTAGGAAATCCCCTTTTTATCTGCACTCTGCATAATCAACTGCCCGCATTCTTTGTGGTATTACAAGAGTATAAATCTCAAGGCTGGCCTGTAGACACAATCACCTCTTTGTCTTAAAATGTAAAGCATTAGGGATGTCTCAGTCTACCGTCAAATGCTTTAACACAAATTTGCCTTTTGGTTTATGGGTTTAAAATTGAAATGAAACACTTTAAACACTATCATTCCAGTGTGTGTATTAGGAGCAGTGCAACAAGATAGCTGTTATTTAGAGGCAGCTGTTAGTTGTTGCTATATGTGTTCATTGTTTTCAATTTTTTTTACAAAATCACTTGAACTCAAGATCCACTCACAAGCTTTTTGTGTTGTTTTTAAATCACATCTTATGGTCTTCAGCTGGTGGACTTCAATCAGTTTAGGTCCAGTGTGTGAGACTTGGAAGGATCTATTGGCAGAACTGGAATATAATACTCATGGAAGAGGTCCAAGGTCAAGAGTGAAGTTTGATGCTGAAATTCTCAGACTTCTTAGATTTCTGATTTGTAACACTAATACAGAATAGTGGAACACATTTTGTTGTTTCCAGCATCAGTTTGATTTAATTTATGTGTGCTCATGCTTCTCATGGCCAATACCGATAACATAACCAATAATTTCACATTTTCGCATTTTAAAAAGATGTTCATAACCTTTAGCTTTTGAAATTAATTATTATTGTCCTGGACCGATAACTTAATTATCTGAAAAAAATCATAATAATAAACATTTCCCATTGTTGACCCTGATAATTATCGTCCATCCCTACCATATTGTGATATCAGAAAATATCATTATTGATGTTGTGATTGTACTTTTTAAACCGTATCGTTTTACCAGGGTCACACAGTATTTTTATAGCTGCTGTTCTCCAAATAAAAAGATTAACTACAACTTACACAGGTTCTTTCATACTTACCAGAATTAGGAAGGACTAGCCTGTTGTGGGTGACGCAACATATTTTTACCATCATTTTTAAATGCAATTTTTCTTAAAAACAGTCTCCAAAACACATGTGGATACAGATAAGCTTTCAGTGGATGTCATGTCCATGTCATGGCTTATTCCTGGAAAGCTACACGGTGAATCCTCACAGAGATGTTTGAGTAACCATGATAAATGCAGCTCATTTTTACACTAACATCCAGCTGTATGTTCCTTTAAAGAGTGGATTTTAAAAGCACATGATGTCAACTGGGCACAGCATGTAGTACAAAGGTCACAGGCTTTAGTTCTAGTTAAAATGTATGTGCACTAATAAAAACAGCATTACTGTAGCAGACACATACAATATTAGAGCCACTTGGGACTCAATGTTACACCGACTATTGCTTTACTTTACTTAAATGTGTCCTTCAACTGTCACTGTAGCTGGCAAAACAGAGCAGGGACAGGCTGTGAACTCTTACCGTCAATGAGACCAAACTCCGTTCAGAATATCCCCAATTTAACGCCGCCATGTTTATATACAACCATAAAGTATTTGGCTGTCAATAGTTGCTCTTCTATTTAATTCCGTACACAGTTAATTCCTCTGGCAGCATTTCTTACATACTACACTACAGTCGTATCTTTTCAGATTTGCTTCACACGGCTAACTGTCATTATTTTATAGATTATAACGAGCTCTTATACAGAGCCACTCCTCAAATGTCAACTTTACGTACTTTACGTAGCTTAAGAAACCGTTAATAAAAAGCCTTAACTCAAGTTCAACCATGCTCTGAAACTGTCACGTTTCTAACGGAGTTGGGCACGCAAACACACGTACTGGAACTTCTGGGAGATAAGAGCTTTGGAGACACTGTGAAAGACATTAAGAAAATAAAAGTCCACCTGACCTGGTAGCGTAAAAGATCTGTTGAACATCTGATAGAGAAGAACTTTAATTCCGCAGAGGTACAGCCTCAGAAGAGGCACCAACACTGACAGCAACCAGGTCATCCCTCTGTTTCCGACCAGACGAACAGCTTCCGAGTCCCACAGTGCTGCACGGTAATGAGTCCGGCGCGCAGCCTGCGTGGGATTAGTACTGTCCGTGGTTCCGCCCCCAAGTAAATTCCGTCACATGATTACTCTTACAAAGGGAAAGCTTATTTTTTGTTTTTTCGTTTTAACCTACTACTTTTCATGACTGCATTGTATTGAATAATAGGCTTGTATAGCTTCTAGTGTAGTTACTAATAATTGTTGTAAACCTGGTGGAAGGGAAACTATAAACTCATTTCATTTGCACAATGGAGATTACAAAATGTAAAACATCACTATGTCTTAACTCTGAAAAATAAAAGTCCCCAAAAGGTTATAAATCAGGGGTTATAAGTCAAAGATTCCAATAGGATTTCCTAAAGAGAAACAAACAAACAAACAAACAAACAACAAACAACTGCTGGTAACCAGGATTTTAGAAATACTGAAGTCCAAATCATTTATATTGTATCTTTCTAATAATGTGGATAATTCTGTTTTCTGTAAATGTAATTTAAATCCTGCTAAATCCTGTTTCAAACACTTTTCCAGACACGGGAATCAGCCCATAAAACAGCCCCCTTTTGTAGGTTTTTAGGCACAAGATGCAAACCCCCTCAGGTTGCAAAATCCCCCAGATTCCTGGAAAACACACATACCATCACAAATGGGGCACAAGGGTGAGATAGAGTGTGTGTGCGTATGTGTGAGAGAGGCAACGTCAATATGGATGCTGGCTGCTACAACTCTTAACTACTGAACTTCAATACAACACATGACATGCTGCCAACAATATTATCATGCAAGGATCATTGGAGTAATTTCATGTTTTTGTGCTCATCTGAAACCCACATCTTGTCAGTCACTTTTTACTGGACGGTGATATGTGCACACACGCAGGGTATCTTCTTTAGTTTTTTTTTGTGGTATGCCACAAGGCTTAGTACAAGGAACGCTGCCTTTACCTTACCGAGTGCATTAAAAGAGTAACTAAATTTATTGTGTTATTGATTGATTCAGGTCCAAATCTTGACACCTGTATTCTACATGTTGTGCTATAAATATGCATTTAAACCTCCCTCTACTGGTTGAAAACCGGCTATTGCAATCAAATTTCGCTGTTGGCTGTTCTGGAGGCGTAAGTGGAGGCAGCTTTCATCACCAAGCAGCAAAGGCGATGGGAGGGAGGGACCAGGGGCGTCTCAAGCTCCGACTGAAAAAGGCCGAGCCCCCCTAATTTGCAGTAAGTTTTATAAAGTTGCCCAAGAAACACAACTCAGTGTTTTGAATGTTTTCACTTGCGATTCCATTTTCACAGCAGCAGGTTAGCCACATGTTAACAAGGAGGCTAGTAATGACGTCGCTTATCGAAAACGAAACAGTTGATTTACCTGCTCTGCTTTTCAGTGGTGACTTTGATTTAGATTGTTATTTTGCATTTGTGCATGTTCTAAACTTTTAAACATTTGATTTCTTAATTCTAAATTCACAGAATTAATTGTGCTTGCTTTTGTATAACGCTAAAAATGTTGTAATGTGCATTTCAATTATTATGCCAGTCTTGTTTTTTGTAGTAGCATTGTCTGTTATGGTTTGTTGCATCAAAATTCATTAGCACCAACCCCCATAGCTCCCCCATCACAATTCTCTGGCACCACAGCTGCCACCCAGCCCCCTCCCCGTCCCTTCCTACAAAACTAACGTTCTGACCCTGCAGACTCTGGCTTGCTATGTCGCCGCAGTGTGACAAACTTTTACAAACTTCTGTGAATGTGCTTCTAGTGACTGTTAAAACTCCAGCGGACACAGTGTTTCCAGCACAGACACAGAGAGTCTGACAGCAGCTGCTCATGTCCGGGTTAGCTCAGTTAGCTCTGAGCCACTAGCTTAGCTAACGTTGCAACACAGGTACCACACAGAAACTTTTACAAATTGATGTGAATGTGCTTCTAGTGACTGTCAAAGCTCCAGCAGACTCTGACAGCAGCTGCTCCTGGCTGGTTAGCTCGGTTAGCTCTGACATGTACAGATTGAAAAATTACATTAAACAGACCCCACAGCTCTGCAGATATGGAAAGTATAATGTGTACTGTAGGATACTTTGATAACTGGTGAAATATTTTGTGAGTAGAAGTAGTGTTTTAGTGGTAAAGCAGGCAGCCCCGTGCAGCTATTGTCACTGACTATAACATTTCCCAACTCCATAACGTCTGCCAAACGTTAAGACAAGAACAAGATCCAATTTTGATAGAACATTCTTTCTCAATCCTTCCCTAAAGTGATTTGCAATGGCTATTAAACACAGATTTCTCCTAAGGAATAACACAGTCTTGTTGTTTGTATATATGTATATACGTTTGTGTATTACTGAAAGATCTGGATCAGCTGGTCTGGATGAATATTGAATCATTTGTCATGGCATGCTGGCAGACCATGCATTTGGGGATGTGGTCGGCAAAAGAGTGGGGTAATTCTCTGCGTTCAGGGTATTTGACATTTGAGTCCATATCTATTGATAATAAGCTTGCAATTTTATAACCACCAGTTGAAATATGACCAATTTTGTCTTTCTCAAGGATGTTGCGATCTTTGATGCTCAAAGAGTCTTTCATGTCATCTGTGGCTGCATGAAAGGAAGCATTCAGATTTCTTACTTCCTCGCACGGATGTAACAATACCAGCTGGCAGGCCAGAGGAGGATTGTGAGAGGATCTTGTAGGTCTGATTTATGGACTCCTGAGCCCAGCCTATCTCTGACCTGGCCTCAGGTCCACCCTCTGAATTTGTGGAACAAAAGGGGCCATCACATTAGTACCATCCAACACTTTCACACTGTTCACCGTCTAGGAGCTGTTTCTTTTGTCAAAGTGAGACAAATTTTGCAGTGAAACTCTTTTCTCTCATTCTGTAATGTGAGTGCACAACAGCTCTCCCCTAATTTGTATTTTACTCACCAAAAGCCTCACAACTGTGATTCAAGCATCCTCCAAACTATTGTACCTTATTGAGTAAGTTAACTGGATTAAAAAGACATTAGGCTTACAAGTGTATGATGATGATCAGGTTTTCCTGGAGGACAATGTCTCTTATATCATTACAAAAAAGGTGAGGAATCAATCACACCGACAGCAGAAAGCAGACACATTAAACAGTAAACAGACAGCAGAATTGGCCAGGTTAGCTCACTCTTAGCTTGCCACTGGCATCCACCCAGCAGATGGTGAGTGATGAATGAGCTTTGTTAAGTGGATATATTTCTGAAAGTAACAGACGATGTCCGTCTGTAAAAACAGTCTACAAGCTCCTGGCTAAAAATCAAGAAATAAGAAATCCTAAAAGAACACGTCATGTACAAAAAATTAAGCACAAATCCTCATTTCATAAAGTTCAGTGATCAGGTGAATCCAGGTAAAACTTACTGCTGCAACTCAATGACCAAGAGTTCAGTTAATATTTTCTATATTTTGTGTCTTCTTGGCAAAAGAAAATATGCTTTTATCGCTCAGTACCCCCTGACCAACACAAAACATTTTTTGTAGAACTTAAATGCCAATGGAGTGGTACAATACAGCGCTGCATCATCAGTGTCTGGTTTATTAAGAAAAGCATAACTTTTATTAATATAACTTTTTGTCATTATTGTTGAAATTTTCACTGTGTTCTGACAGTAGTAAGCGAGATAGATCATCTGTGAGAAAATCAGGTTCCTCTGGCTCATACTACTTCTCCTAATGACATTTACAAGAATCCACTGGGCCTGAACAAAACAAACCAATCAGAGCCAAGAAAGATATAAAGACACTTTGGGTTGGAAGCTTGAAGACAGTTTATCGTTGAGCCTCTTACCAAGGATCCCAAAGTGTCTGTATTTGGCACCCTGGCAATGAGACTCAACCAAGTGTGAACCTATTGTGACGTCACCCATTGGTTTGTGGAGTACCGTTTTGAAGCCTCAAGTTCCATGACAGTAAAACAGAGCCAGCGCGAGCCAGCGGACGTGACACTTTGCCTTGTCACACACAATCTCGTATTACAGCTAAACAGCACACTAAAATATGTTTCTGAAACAATTTTAAGTGAGAAATAGGCAACGCAGTAACCGAATCTAGCTTCGTATTTGATCAGCACTGCCTAGTTTGACAGTTTCATCTGAGTTTTGTGTGCTGTGCTGGACAGACATGCTGAGACTGACCTGTCAATCAAAAGGTAGCTGCACCCAAAAGTATATGCGACTTTATCGTCTATTTTACTCTAACTTGGACCATAATTTACTAAATGAACATTATAATATATTGAAGAAGATGTGAAACTAGCAACTGAGACCCTAAACTCATCAGGAAACTGTTTACTAAGCTCATAAATTAAGTGTCAAGTCAGCTCATTCTCCATTAAAGTGAATGGGATCGTTGTGTTATTGCAGCCAATAGAGCTCCCCCTGCAGGAATTTACATAGAATGCAGGTTTTAAGATATTTACGCGTTGGTTTCACTTTTCAGATCTGGAAGCTCTGTCCATTATATATACTGTCAGTGGACTCAACAATCAGCAGTCTTTCTCGCCTCTGATTGGTTGTTTATGTTCAAGCTCAGTGGATTCTGGCAAATGCCATTAGGAACACTAGGAGGAGCCAGAGTAACCTGATTTTTTCACTGATTATATCTCATGTACTACTGTCAGGATATACTAAAAGTTTCAGCAAATATAACAAAAAAAATGCTGCCTCATTGCTTCATTTCAAATGTTTAGAATCCCTCCCTAAATTTAGGGGAACCAATTTTTGTCGTAACACTAAGAAAGCATTTAAGTTGCATTGAACTGTGTCTTTTTAATTAGCTGCACTTAGGTAGAAATAGGTTTCTGCTTCACTGAGGATCTTTGTCATTCTCAGTGGCAGTGGGAAACTGCAGTGATCAAAGTCTATACAGCAGTTAAAGGTCCAGTGTGTAGGATCTACTGGCATCTAGTGTTGTGTAGTTGCTGATCACAACTCACTCGTTTCTACACAAAATA